CAGTTGCAGCTTGCTTCAGAAACCCTCCACCTTCCCCAGCTCCACCTGTATAGATATGCTACATACATGAGGTGATTCATGTATGCTATATGGGGGTTATTTCATGTATGTTATATCTGCAGCAGCAATATTTCTTACATGCTCACAGCAGCATGTTGTGGATGTTTTGGCAGTAGCAAGTCTCGGTACTTGCTCTGCAGCAGCAGCAGCGTAGCAGATCTATTCCGCCAAGACCAAATACATTTGCATTATCATGTACATTACCATGCCAATCCCTCCGAGAGTTGTCATGACAGAACTACATTTCACAACCAGAGTTGTCTACTACTCTTCCTATTGAAAATTAGTATTGCCTAATCCATCATGTAGTGTGCACACAACAGCAACTATATGGTACCCCAAACAGTCGTGCAATGTGAGAAGAGCAGCGATCTGACGTCATTTAAAATCGCGCATTAGCAAACAAGAAAAAAAACAGAAGTGATGAAAACAAGCAAACAGGAGGCTTTGTATACGGTTTGTATATTCACAACCCTAGCTCTTGTGGTTTCCCTTTTGGAACGACTAATACAGATTGCTGCCATCTACTGGTATGGAGAGCAATTTCCTCTCAAACAGGTTAAGAACATATGTGCTGGTTGACCATTGGCAATAGTCTTTGTGGCATGTTCAAGCGCATCTTTTCAGCTCAGACACAGGGCAATATATGAACTATATGAGCTACTTTAGACATACAAGGTAATTATGATATCCATTATGCACAATTCTAATTGAAAAGACACCACAAATAATGATATGATATTTGCAGTAAAATAGTAACATTAATAAAACAGTTAGAAAGGGATACACCATGTGATCTGAGTTGTTTTGTTATGCATGTATACTTAACCTTTCCTCTTGCTTTCAATGTTCCTGCACTTCATTAATCCAGTTCAGCTCACTATTGTAATGACAAGGCCCAGACGCATTTCTCTCTGATTTGGCACGTAGGTTGAAATGGAACGCCTTTCTGAGGCCTGCAACATGTTCTGTGCTTATCTCTGTTGTTGCCCTGGCAATACCAGTTGAGTTCAGGTGATACATTATCCTCTCAACTACATCAAACGCAGACCTGACTAAATAGGTGACAGAAGTAGAGAGTACAGAGAAAATCAGAAAGAGCACTTATCACTAAGACAGAGAGTTGGTTCGAGAACAAGAGGCCTCTGTTTACACACTGATATACACAGCTGTTCTTACTCACTCAGTGCACTGGGCTTAAAACTGCCTCCTGCTGCATGTGTTTACAGGCTTTACCCCTGTGTGGAAGCTTATCTTCTGGGTTTGAGTACAGACAGAACCAGAGCCAGCCCATGGCAGAAATGCCCCAGTGCTTCCTCAACAACTCGCCCAGACACACAAATGGACCTACTAACAAAGTAAGACAAACTGACCACTCTGTTATGTCCTGAAACATACTCAGCATATGCAAGCACACAAACACAAATTCTCCTAGCTAGCACAAGCTACGTTTCAAGTGCTGATGCACTTAAAAATGGTTTAGAACTCATAATGCAAAACAAGCACAACATGCTTTCTCAATTTTGCCATAAGGGGCGCTATATTGGGTATTAAACTATCTACACAGTGGGAGAGTAAACCGTCTTCTTCAGCTTCTTCAACTCAACTTGCTAGCTAACTATCATAAAATCAGAACAGAACACTTTAACATTGTGGCAAGTTTGCACAAGCATTTAAATCTGTGTAATGCATATATTTATGTTTTAGGCCAAGATCCTTATATACTCTTGTATTCTCTTTATGTATATTCTATTGTATATTTGCCTAGTACTCTAGAGCTCTGCCTTGTAACCCCTATTACACAGTTTGAAAGTTATATGTTTTGTTCAGCCTCCCTCGCCCTGTCAGCTCAACTATATCCTTCAGCCATCAAAGTTCCCCAATCACCGCAGCCCAAAGAGCAAAGACCCACCCCGTTACGAGGAGGCTGTCAAACAGACCAGAGGTCTGCAAGCCACAATGCAGGTAATTTAAAGTTAGGCCCAAAGTATACTTCAGTTTTGACAGCCAAACACATAACCTTTCAAAGTATGCACCAAAAACTGAAAGTTTCATCTTTGTACAATGTCTGCGACATTTCTCTCCAGACGTTATATCTGATAATAAATATCTTCGAACTCATATAAACTAGTTGCGGGTATTTCTTAACCCGCTCATCAATGCCGGTGTCTTTTGTTGTTACCGTCTCTAGTAGTTTGTTGTAATGTTCTGTCTCTTCCGTTTCTTTTTCAAATATGAATCAATAGTGGTGCCACTTTGTGGACAGATGAATTAGTGCAAGAATACGCCATTAGAAAATATGCTGATGATGAAATGTATGTCATGTATACTGTACGCATACCCTGGCATATGCATAAAAACTGAAGAATGCTCTGGGGTTTAGGTTAACAGACTTTCCCACTCGGAAATATGACTTCCCTCTGTCATTCATGTGCTCAGAATTCCATTTGAAGGGCACAGTACTAACATTGCACACTTGGTAATCTATTTTGAACACTTTCTGTTGTCTTAATACCTTGTATTCTTCCATAAAGGTTCCTACTGCTACCAGTCAGCACATGGACGATTTGTTTGACGTTTTGATCGAGAGTGGAGGTGAGAAAAGACAAAACCGCTCTTGAATTTCAGCTACAATAGGTTTCTATAACTAAACTGTTTTCTGTGCTTTCCCAGAAATATCCCCTCTATCCAGGCAGGATCCTTCTCTGGACAAACTACTTCCAGTGACAGCAAACATCACCACCTTGCCGATCAACACAGTGCTGTCTCGTCCTCCACCGCAGATACACGTTGCCCGCACGCCCAACCAAACCCAAGTGCCTCCACCCAACATGGTAGCCCTGGCCTCCGATAACCAGTTGGAGGCCCTGCTGGAGGACGCTGAGCCACGGACCCTGAGACTGATGGAGGAGCTTAAAAACCAGCTGCTGGAGCGGTCCCACTCCCCAATGGACACTTCAGATCTGACCTTCACCGACACGCCGCCTTCTGCCCTCCCTCTGCAAGACGCAGGCCTCGACAACATGGAGTGGTTGGACCTTACGATTCCAGGTCCTGCTGGTATCTCCTCACCGACTGCAGTCTTTTCATCTGATTTCTTGGACTCCACTGATTTACAGTTACACTGGGACTGAGCTCACAAAGGGATGGAGATTGGAGACGTTCTGAAAAGATTTGCGGATCTGTGTGCAAACCACTGATAGTGTAGCATCAGCTTTTCTCAGTTGCACCTATACGTGCAGGTTTGTGTGCCGTTATTGTCACCAACACCTATTTCAAAGCAGAAGAAGAATGTAGAGACACTTTTTTTCACCTGTATATTTAGGCAGTGAGCTTCTGCTTTTCATATTTTGAAGCAGTCTTTGAAACTGCTGGCCTATGTTATAGAGAATGTTAGAATGTTGTTGTTTTTTTAGATTCTGATAAGTATAATTTCTTACCTAAGACGGAACATATTTTAAATGTATCATATATTTTGGGGAAAGCAAGGATTACAAGTACAATCATAGTGCCTTTGCTGTTTGCGTTGTCCAGAAACTCTGTAGTTTTAGAGTTAAAGGGATAGTAAGTTCAAAAAAGTATTGTTCTCATTCCAAGCTCGTATCTTTCTTTCTTTCTGAACTCGAAAGAAAATGTTTTGAATCTCGTTCAGCTGTTTTTTCCATTGGGATCCAAAACTTTCAAACTCCAAAAAGGACATAAAGGTAGCATAAAATTAATCCATATGACTTGACTGGTATATTCAAAGCTTTCAGAAGCAGCACAATTAGTTTCTATGTTAAACAGATCAAACTTTATTTACTCAAAGTCTTTATTAACTCTCAAAACATTAAGCAGTGCATACAGAGACTAAGTTAAATTTGGCTTCAAGAATTTTTTTTTATATATATATTTCTGATTCTTTTTCAGTAACATGTTTCACTCAGACATGTCACAACACAAAAGACTTGCATTTAATCACAACTTTAAATGTCAGACCCCACTGTATGTCATGTACCCAATCAACATAAAGGCTTAAAAACTGCATATCATACAAAATGATTCATATGGATTCATTTCATGCTACCTTTATGTCCGTATTGAAGCTTGAAAGTTTTGGACCCCATTAACTTGATGGTATTAACAAAAATCAGCTGAAACGTTCTATAAAATATCTTCTTTTGTGTTGTTGAAGAAAAAAAGCCATTTGAGTTTGGAAAAAAACATAATGACTTATAATTTTGGGGTTAACTATCCTTTTAACTAGGAACCTGTTTATTGGCTCACTTACATTCAACTGCCATGGTCAATGAGCTGTTAACTGTTGTGTTAGGGTACTCGAAATTGTGGCAGCTAAATAATAACATTCAATTTCTAAACATTCGAAATCATCCAGTGCATAGACTGGGAAAGGTCAGAGTGAGGTTGTTTACCAAACCCAGCATGAGGCCAAAGAGAGGGAGGGAGAGAGGCACACAAACGCCTGACTAGGGGCCATTATTATCCCTATCAAAAGAGTAGATAGAGTGGACAGGGTTCAGCTCTTACAGTCTGAACTGACAGTGTTGCGTGTCTTGACCAGGGAAACAAGGCTAAACAGGACCTGTGAAATTTTCATATTCAGATCAGAATGACAAAAGAGAGCAGCTGCATTTTGATTGGTCAGGCTCTTTACTGCAGTACATATGTGTTTTTTGGACGTAGATGAACTGAAATTCACTGTATTTCACAGAGTCTGAGCTTCTTTCTTCATAACCACTGAAATGCAGGTAGCTGGCAGGTAATTTGCCTTTGTTAATGTACCTAAACCTCACCTTCTCAGTTATTTGTAAAAATCAATTGCCCACATATAGCGCCTTTGCGCTTCGGGCGTCCCGAGTTCGAGTCCCGGCTCGTGGACTTATTTTTTGGGGAAGTTGTGGCCTAATGGTTAGAGAGTCGGACTCGTAACCCAAAGGTTGCGGGTTCGAGTCTCATACCGGCAGGGATTGTAGGTAGGGGCAGTGAATGTACAGCGCTCTCTCCCACCTTCAATACCACGACTGAGGTGCCCTTGAGCAAGGCACCGAATCCCCAACTGCTCCCCGGGCGCCACAGCATAAATATGGCTGCCCACTGCTCCAGGTGTGTGTTTACGGTGTGTGTGTGCACTTTGGATGGGTTAAATGCAGAGCACTAATTCCTAGTATGGGTCACCATACTTGGCCACGTGTCACTTCACTTATTCGTTTTTGGTTTTAGTTTTTTTTTTCTATAAAATGTGACAATGTAGCGTCATCTGCTGGCACAGTTTGAAACAGACGGCTGAATGATTTCTTATCACCACTCCCTTCAGATGGATAATTATGAAATGTTTTCCTTCAGTGTTTGGCAGATGCAATAGCAGATCTCTCTTTAGACACGCTGTGAAAATATGCCATGCATGCCAAATAGTGCACTTACTTGACCTTGGACTGAACTCGTTGACAATCAATTCCTTATCCAAACACGTTGTCAAAATGAAAATTTATTTCTATATTTAGAAATGTAATTTCTAAAGGGATACCATAGTTCTGTCTCTATCAGAGACCCAAAGCTTTTAATTTTGTAAACGTACCATTTTACTGCATTTATGCAGTTCTCACATATATTTTTCACATATTTTATGGCTCTACGTGTATTTGTTTTAGTGTGAAAAAAGGCCCGCGGTCGAGCAAAATCCTATCATAAGACCTTAAATGAACCTGTAAAGATTATTAGGGTTTGTGTACCTTTTTTCAATATGTCCATCAGAGTAACTGCTCTGTTATGAAGAGGAAAAGAAGAGAAATATATCAAATCTTACTGACCCTTTGAAGTGCGATGTAGATTGTATGCCTCATATTTTGCACAGTGTATATATTTTTACAATATACATTTTATACAAATGTATTTGTGCAACTGTAAATGATGTTTTGAGGTTATCTTTGTACATATCTTTATTGTATATACAGCCTTTTATCAATAAAATGTTTCTGTATTTGAAACCATTGAAATGACTTGTTTGGCCTTCCAAAGGACAGAACCATGTTCTGGCCCCACATAACCTTATTTAGCAAAGCTAACAACACGATAATATACTTAACATTTGACAATTTACCAAAGATAATATTTTTAACCTAACATAACCTACAAGATAAAATAATTTAGAATTGCTTTTAACCAGCTGAAGAACTCCTACTCTACTACATGCAAACAGAATCAGGCATTTGTTAAAGTACTGCCAGGGTTTCTGCAGATTTTATAAAGGTAAATTGTACACTTTTTAAGACCAAGTAAAGGAACTTTTAAGGAATAAATTGAAGGGAACACAATGTTTTCAAAATGTAAATGTCTAAGTAGCAAAGAATGGCTTGTATTAGTAATACTTAAAAATTCGAAAGTACAGCTTTCAACTAACCCCCATTACTTTTCCATTTATTTGACAAGATAAATAAATACAGCTTAAGGTTTAAATAGCTCTGCTCCCAACCACTAGAATATGGAAATTACTTTACTGTACCTTTTGATCACACCACAAAAAAGTGATGTTCTTTTGAAATGTCTAAACATCCTTAAATCAAGATACATTTACTTGACAAGCAAGTCTGAAGATTGTCAAATTTGGTGAAAATCGGGCCAGTGGTTTAGGAGGAGAAGCAGGTTTTCAAAGAAAATCAAAATGCCAGACAGGACATTTGTGGTGTAATTAGTATCGATGGTATCAATGTTCTCGGCATGATCCAAGGAAATCTATCAAGACCAGACTCATGACAAAAATAATCAAAAGCTATTAGCATTTTTTGACCACAAGGTGATGTTGCCCTGAAACTTTTTGAGTTCCATCAGGACATGGTGCCAAATACAGAGTTTCGTAACGATACGCTAATGCTTTTGTAAAACATAGCGAAGTTAAACTCAAAATGGCCAACATGGGAAAATTGGGTATCAATCAACTTGGTATGCTGCACCGACTCCAAAGAGATAATTGTGGTCTTGATTTTTGACCAAACTGTTCAGAAGTTATAAGCAAAAATATAAATGTTTTCACATCACCTGACAATTAGGTGGCGCTGTGCCGAAACTGTGCAGGTACCCTCAGGTCATGGTTGTCATACACACCAAGTTTAGTCTAAATAAACAAAAGCGTTGCATATAGCCATTTTGATGTTTTTGTTTAATTCATTTGCTTGTTATTCAAGGCTAATCAACTTGAATTCCATGTTCTTCTTGTTTTTTGTCAGCATTGTCTGAACATGATCTGATTTTACTTTTTTTATGTAAATCAGACTAATGGTCTATAGGAGGATTTTTAAAAAGTAGGTTTTACGGAAAACTCAAAATATCGGTAAAATTTTTATGATGGAAAAATGACATGGGTTCAGTCGAATTATCTTCAGCCAAGGAATCAGAAGAAAAAAAGAAACGTTGGTGGGTTTTTCTTTTCCTTTTACAAAAAAAAATGTATTCCTTTAATTTTAAATGAACATGAGTGCAACTTTGGACAGTTGGTGGCGCTAGAGGGATCCAAATCTGCTGTGGTTAATGCTCAGACTGTCCTCTATATGTGTGCCAAAATTCACAACTTTTTTCCATACGGTTTTATGGGCTGCCATAGACTCAAGAGCGAGAAGAAGAACATTAAAGGTATCTACAGACCTTCGGTGGTTGGCCCCTAAATATCTGCCCATAGGCTCTGAAAAATCAGCTTAATTAAACCACATTGTTGGAGATTAGTGCTGTCAAACGATTAATCGCATCCAAAATAAACGTTTTTGTTTACACAATATATGTGTGTAGGCTACTGTGTATATTTATTTTGTATATAAAAAGATACACACATACAGTATATCTTTTGAAAATCTAATACACGCATTTATGTTTATATTTATATTCATATTATACATAAATATATTTAATATATAAATAACATCTTTTTCTGAAATATATACATGCATGTGTATGTATTTATATATACATAATAAATGTACACAGTGCACACATATATATTATGTAAACAAAAACTTTTATTTTGGATGCGATTAATCGCGATTTATCGTTTGACAGCACTATTGCAGATATGTATTATTGCTCTAAGCATAAATTCACTTAATTGTTTTCAGTTTTTGCACGATTTCATTTATACCTTTGCATTTCAAGTAAATATCTTGACTTTCTACTCTGATATAAGACCACTTTAAGGCCTTAAATTGTAAAAGGGCGATTTAAGACTTAAAACCGCAGAAACCCTGATTGCATTTTGATTTATTTTTTTTATAATCCTGCACAACCTGAAAGTGTTCAGTGCTTTAGCTGCAAATATTCAACCCAAAATTCTAAATTGGCATTGAATGTTCTTTAAGTTCAAACCAGAAGACTGAAATCTCACAGAAGTCTTGCATTTTCCTTTCGGTATGGATAGTTTTGGAGGCAGTTTTAAGGCAAACCGAAAAGTTGGCTTCGTCCCCACAAAGAGCGAACCGTGACAGCGCCATATCGTATCCTTTAAAAAAGCCACTTCAGGTAATTCCATGGGTAGGCCTACTGTCCCTGTAAAACGTTCAGGATGACACCGGCTGAAACATTTCCAGCAACCTTTTCAGTTCACATTACGGGATTCAAACATTCCACTCCTCAGAGCTTTTTGCATGTTTTTATGTGACTCCGACATTTTGGACACTTGTGAACGACATCTTTGCATCTATCCATGCAGAACGGGATGACACAGCAGCCAGCTATACAACTACACAAGAAAGAGTCAAGAACACAAATATATCAACGTTTAACCCTTAATAGAAAGACATAATGGTAATCACACAGTGGCATAGTGGACGTAAACGAGAATAAATAAAGTCAAATATCAGACGGCAGTTCATCTCACCAAAAAAGAATGGAAATAAGACACACAATATAGGCGGCACTGCCAGCTTTGGTTGAGACATCTGTGGTTATATACTGGCGACAGAATGGACACTGCGTCCGAGCTGAGTGTCGAGGAAGTTGCTCGACATCCAGAATCACCTGCGGAGCTGAGAAAAACAAACATGAGCCGCTTTCAGGAAGCTCTGGTCCTGTTGGATTTTGTATTTGCATAGTTGTCTCAAAAAACTTCACATCTTACCATCACTGAAACTGTGTCAAAACCTACTAACCTGGATAAGACGGCGGCCTGTCTGTAGATGAAACAGTAGTGTCTGTAATAATAAAAACATAAGGACATATGAAAAAAGAACTGCAACATCAAATACAAATACAAAATGTCAAATTCCAATAGGGATGAGCGATACCCCTTATTTTGTTTTCGATACGATACCGATATTTTTCAAGGCAGTATCGCCGATATTGGTACCGATTCGATACTTGTGCACTAAACTTTTAAATTATGAAATGTATTAAATTATGAAATTACTAAGAGTAAAATGGGTAATGAAAACCCCTTAACTTTATGTTTAAAACGCATTTTAACCCGTTTAATCCCAGATTTTTCCCAGACATGAAAATATTCAAATGATGTGTCATTAGCAACCCTTTGAAATAATCAATCTTTTTTTTTTTTTTTTGGAAAAGTGTGTGAAAATTTTTATTTTATGGTCAGTCACAATTGTAACCGGTGGGATAACGTGTATCCTGAATTAACATATTTTTTTACAGTCTTAAAAATTGTTATATATCTTAGCCCCGCTATTTTAAACTGTTTGATCACATTCTAGGGTTACTATTATGCATAAAAAAAAACTTATACAACATTGATAGGAATACTGAGATCAAATACAAAAAATACAACCATCAACGTATTTCAAAATTGTTAATTTTCTGTAACATATATCATCACATTTTTATATTAACTAAGCTAAGCTAACAAAGGTTATTCGTCCAATTCAATGCATATTGTACGCATTATTATTATTATTATTCCCTATATAACCATGTATGTGACAAATAAAAATCTTGAATCTTGAATTATTATTTTTGTTAAATAAACAAAACCACTGGTAAATAAAATGCACCTTAGTATCGATATTTTTAGTTTGAGTATCGATACTTTCGATACTCGCGTCGGTATATATCGATACTTCGGATCGATACGCCCATCCCTAAATTCCAAATGTTTAAGTATAATTCCTGTCAAAAAAAAGATATCAAATTGCCATACCTATTAAATGATTGCCTCCCGATATTTCTTGCAAATTCACCAGTTCAAGCTTCTTTTCAGTGAGAACTTTAAGCTGCTCATCAATCTCGTTAAATTCTTCAGTCTCTCTGGAATACTCTGTTGGTTACAAGATCTCGAGTGAGCAACATTAGCTTTTTCCTTACGTACTGTAACACTATACAATGAGAAATTGCTATATTTGCATATATAACCAAATTCTTTATTTATGAATAATAATCCGTAAATGTCTTCCACTGTTTATTTGGCTTCTGTTATCAAGCAGTTCCAGTTAATGGGACTCACGTTGCTCATTCTGGCCATTGTTTCGCTTGAACTGGATGAGCATTGCCAGGATATTGCGTTTGTCAATCAGCTGCTGTCTGCGAGAGGACAGCCGGTTCAGCTCCTCAAAAATGTTCGTCAGCTGTTCATCAGACATGTTGAGGGTTGAGATGACGGTTCACTTAAACCTCCAAAAGCCTCAGACCGTCATACAGCATCCACTCTGAAATAGATAGCCTACGATAGTTTCATAACAGAAATGAGCCGTAGCGTCCAGTCAAGAAGAACTGTTTAATACAAGTTTATTCCTGATATGAAAAACACTGTTGCAATTACAAAATTAAAATAAAAGAATAAATGATATATTTTAATAATTACCCATGTGTGCTGCTGTGTCTCTTCAGTCGCTCTTCACATTGCAGTAATAAGGAAATATGAGGCTGGTCATACTGTAGCTGAACAGTATGAGGAACATATCCATAATATTTAAAGTGTGTGGTTTACCTGTATTTTCCTACCAACTCACATGGCGACAAGGGTCTTGAAATACAAACATCTACAGTTTTGCAGCAAATCTGGTGGGACTTTAATATTAAGCATTTTAACAAGCAGCAGTAATGGGATTTAAATTGCACTTTTGCACAATTAGCTGTTTTGTGGATGTACCATGTATACATGTACTAAGCATCTTCGAAATGGAGAACTATCACACATTTGCATCTTTGCAAATGTGAAAGTTTGGGTTTCTGTCTAACTAAAAGGAACAAAGAGCCTTTATCAAATGTATTCTAAGAATAGCTATTTAAGTTACTTGCTAGATTGCTTCAACAAGTGTCGTCTTCACAGGATAAGTTTACCTTAAAAAACATGAAGTCATCGTTTACTCATTCTCATGATTAAAAATAAAATGCAATTCAAATCTTTTCCCCCCGTTTTTGTTCCACAGAAAAATAACAGGGGACAGTATTTGGTAGGACACACCATGAGGATGAGATTTTAGTTTTTGGGTGAACGTATCATTATTTACAAATTTCACCCATTAAAGAGAACTTAATTTGTTCATTTCCTTCTCAGATTCTTCAAAAACGTCACTTCATCTCTGTTCCTGATCCCGTAGCTGAGGACAGAGGAAACACAATCCAAACATATTATAAGCAATCACTGTGCACCAAATGAATACAAGTTAACACATCTCTACAAAAGCAACAGATTATTTGGACTCACTCCTTTAGCTTTCTTTTGTCATCTTCTAATTTTTCTCCATTGAAGACCAGATGAAATGTCCTCCACACGTATTTCCTTGACAGGGAAAGTGGATCAGGACAAAACAAACAAATACAAAATCACATCCTATACTTTTTTTCATGTCTCACCAGCTGATGTGCTTGACACCTCCCTCTCGTTGTTGTTTTAGCTCCATATATCTGCGAATGGCTTTCTTCAGATCCAGAACCGTAGCAGACTGCACAACCACAATAGCTGTGAAGAGATTTGCTCCAGTTAGAATCAATAAATGTATAGCAATTCCAACTAATTCCAAGAAACCTCACGCATGACTTCTCCATCAGCCTTACAAACACGAACAGTCATGGCTTGACCATATTCCAAAGCCACCTGAGAGTTCACCTCCTCCAACGTGACCTGAACATTTGAAAGATCAGAAAAGATTGGGAATTCTAGACCTTACATTCAAACATGTAGCTTGTTTCAATATTATTCTATTAAAACAAATTCTTTATTGCTGTTTGATGGTAGACCTGAATTGGCAGGTCGCACAGTAAAGGGTCCTGGACCATCAGAGCCAATCCTTCCTCAAAGATGTCAAGAAATTCAGAGTGTGGCAATGCCTCCTCGTCGTCTTCTTCTTCTTCTTGCTCTTCTTTAATTTCCTCTACAACAGTTTTCTCCTCAAGCTCAGCCTCATCGACATTCTTTAGGTTTCCTTTCTTTAATTCATCCATTTTCAACTGATGACCAGCGAAAGCTTCTTGATGCAAGTCTAACGTTACATCCAGAAATACGAGACATAAAGTCGTCAAGTTCTCTCCATGTTTATTAAATCAATTAGTGAATTTAAACGGAATTATGGCACAGCTGCTAAATTATTTCTGATAAAATTGTAACATCTACAGTTCTGTTACGTTCCAGCTTTATATCCATTTTTTTTGTCGGAATATTTCTGTGATGCACCAAACTTTAGTTCCGCATACGTTTCTATGTTATATTTCCGATACTGACTATACAATTCTTAACATTTAAATAATTTAATTTAACATATATACAGTTCCTGACCGTTCTAGGTATATATAACATTATTATATACCCTATAATTAATGTTTATTCGCGTTTATATTTCGTTTCATGTCGAGCCTAGATTAGTGAGGAACGTTGTGTAACCTGTAGAGGCGTGAGAATGTGTGTAAACACACTTCATTTGCATCAGGAAAAAAAACAAGAACAGTATTTAGTATACAGTATTATATATATATATAACCTCTTGAAAATGCTCCTGTTTTGTCCAACTTGTGGGAATGTGTTAATCGTTGAAGAGGGACAGAGATGCTTCAGATTCGCGTGTAACACATGTCCATATGTGCACAACATCACGCGGAAGGTAATGAGTTACCAATACAACACAGAAACGCGTTTGGAACGGTTTGTTTAAATACGTGATTATCTGTAGTTTGTTTTTAAATGGAGCACAATAAAATACTTCGAAGGTGAAATGATTGGACATTATGATTCAAGCATATATCTGATGATGCGAACCTTCGATTAGATTACTCGTGGAATAAAACGATTGCTCGATTCCAACACATGTAACGTGTGGACATGTGATTCGAAAACTAAATTCGCATTAAACGATGTGAATGTTCCATTCAAATGCATGTAATGCTGGAACACAACGTGAACTTTTCTTTTAGAATTCATGTAATACGTTTATTTGAATGCAAAATAAATAATGTGACTTTTCGATTCGGTGGCTGCTGCATCCGAATAAGCATACGGGAAGTATGAAAGACATTATAGTTTCTATATAGCATCAGCCAATTATACTTTGTAGTAGGCGAAAAGCAGTATACGAAAACAAGTACGCAACTGTAGGTCACATGATAATCTGAATATGACAGATGTGGTATGTCGGGATTACATTAATAAATACACACATTTGTACTACATAAAACATTTTGAATGGTCACGAATTAAATACTTATTTAAAAGAAGTAACTGCTTTGAGAATATGTATTTTCAGATGCCACCAAAGCATATATATATATATATATGGTGTGTGTGGAAGTAACTTGGATATTTTGACAGGTAAATAACAGAAAGTACCCCAAACTGAAGGAGGTTGATGATGTTCTCGGGGGCTCTGCTGCTTGGGAAAATGTGGATTCCACTCCAGGTAAAACCGTGTATCTTAAAAACAGTGCTTGTATGCACAGTGAATATTTTACAACACGTTCTGGTGGCTTTAAATTAATGTTTTTAATCCTTCTTGATCCGATTTGAGGTATAACACTTTATGATATTTCTTTGCAGAACCTTGTCCAAAATGTGAGCACCCAAGGGCCTACTTTATGCAGATTCAAACTAGGTCTGCTGATGAACCAATGACAACCTTCTACAAGTGCTGCAATCTACAATGTGGGCATCGTTGGAAAGACTAAATCAGAGACCTCAGATTTGGACTTTGTTTGAGGCTCGGAATATGTTTTCATATAGAAGATTTTATATTTATTTGTTGGAGCCAAAACCGTGTCATCATGTATTAGGATTAAAAACCACAGACACCCTTTATATGTATCATTATGACAGTAACTATATGAGCTTCATTGGCCTTATGACTGATTTTGTGTGAGTGTGTGTGCGCGCGCATGCAAGTAATACAATCACTGCTCGTATATGATACAGGTTGTCTTTTTATTTGTTCAAATAGTCAGTCCAGAAGTTGTTTTACATACACATTTGAGACTTGAGTTGAGCATGGCATCTGGTGTAGTGCCATATACTATTCTCAAGGCATCTATCTACAGCTGCATTCCTGTAACACAAGCTTGACATCTATTGTCTGCAACAGCATCAAGTCACGTCACAAAGCAAGTAGACCTACGTAGTCAAGAACATATTAAAGGGAGCCAGACTGGACTGTGCAAGTAAACTCCATGATCATGCATACATATTTACTGGAGATTAGACAGACATCATGTAGTTTTTGCAGATGATGGAGAGGTGTCTTGATATTACAGGTCATGGTTGATAGGATGAAATTAAGATGGATGGGATGATGTAATTCTTTTTTTCTTCAGTCAGACAATAGTACATTGGAATTTTAACAGCTGAATACTTTGAAATCCGAATTGAATGTGGCAGTTTGTAATACCTGCATATGCATATAGGGCAAATGCTATGAAAATTCAGTGTTTCTGATTAAAAAGATATGAGGCTTGTGTGCATTTACCGAGCGACTGCTACATTTGGTGTTAAATAGTACAATGGAAAGATGGAAAATCTGATTGTTAAATAGCTATAATGTTGGCAGATTGTCTACCAGAAAAACAATTATTATCTGAATCTTCATTTAAAACTACACTATGTAACTTTTTGATGAAAACAAATAATATTAAAGAGCTAGAGTAAAAAAGCCCTTAATTCACCCAAATACAATTTAATTACCCTATAATAATTACTTTTTTTTTTTTTAGAGCAATCAGGACGGATTTTGCGGGAAATTGCATAGGCTACGACATTCTTCCGTGCATTGCATTATTTATCAGCATATATCCGTACAGAGAAATATCTTAGCAATAATATTAAAGAGCTAGAGTAAAAAAGCCCTTAATTCACCCAAATACAATTTAATTACCCTATAATAATTACTTATTTTTTTTAGAGCAATCAGGACGGATTTTGCGGGAAATTGCATAGGCTACGACATTCTTCCGTGCATTGCATTATTTATCAGCATATATCCGTACAGAGATATATCTTAGTGTTTATGTTGTGGGAGAAGTGTGAAGCTTAAAGCTGCAGTCCGTAAGTTTTGCCTCTTTGTCACCATCTCTGTTTGAAAACCTGCAATTGCAGCTGTGTGTGGAATTATCTTCCTTGCGTGGTTTGTGAGTCGGCACGGCTCCAGCGCGGATGAATCTAATGTTTTGAGGAGTATGTGTGGCAGTCAGTCACCGCACCGGTGTGGATATTGTACTTTACACTCACAGATTCTAGCCTCCGTCTTGGAATATATGACTCAAATAAGCATTTTCACTGGATATTGTCATCTGAATAAGTAAGTAGTAACATGTCTGCCACGTTTGTTCTGACCAACTGAGGAAAAAAGCATTACAATAAATCACGCTACCAATGGTGATTAAGTGTAACGATCGGTTAGCTCATATCACATCAAACCATGCAAATTATTATTATTGTTATACTTTATTCTCAAATTGTTATTGTTAACAACATCAGCATTACGTGACTATATGAATATAGTGTGTATAAGTGAGTAGATTTCAATTTCTGTACAGTCTAATCTCTAATTGTCATACCATTCGAATTTCATATTAAGAAATTCTTTTAACCCAAAAAGTTGTCTTTCAAATACATATCTTTTGTAATCCCAGACTATCTGTAATCAGAAGCACGTTTAAAACTGGAATATAATTGAATTTCATTCACATATGTTTCATGAACACATAATCCTTTCTGGATTACAATCCACCATCAAAATGATACATTTAATTATTCCAGCTGCTGTGAGAAAAGGCTATAAACGATCCTCCACCTGCAGGATCCTCCGTCACATGCGATAGTCTAGTAGCTGGGACAACTTCATGTTTACAGACGTGACGTAATGACGCAGTGCCATGCTCGAATTTCCCGCGAAAACCTACCCGTACCACTCAAATTAGAAAACATTATTATCGTTGTGAATTGGGCTAAAGTAAGGCGATAGTTTTGAACACGGCTGGTTGTGTAATTGCTCAAATGTTGATTTCGGATCATTTTTAACCAAAAAAAGTTACGGACTGCAGCTTTAAAGTTTGTTGTCACAACGAACGAGAAAAATGACCATGGTTCATTCAACACGGGAAATCGCGATTGTAAAATCAAAGAAACCCCGCACACGATACAGCGGTCCGTCAAACTACATTCATCCACGACACGTAGAGGGCCGGTGTAGTGCCGAAATTTGCACCCTGCCAGATTATGCACCCCCTAGTATTGGTAGGTTTAGGAGTAGGTGTGGGGGAGGGGTTAGGATTAGGGGTGGGGTTGGGATTAGGCAATCAGGTAGCGACTTCAACGAGGGGGGGCATAATCTGGCAGGGGTGCAGAATTCGGCACAACACCGGAGCCGAAGCACAACCAAAACAATGTTCTTCCGCAAGACGCATGCAGGTTTATTTTTTTTAACCGCTACAGACCCAAATGTTACTTAGTGTAGTTTTATAGAAAAAAAATAAACACAGAGGTAAATAGAGATATATAGTGTCTAAGCACTGCTGATGTTGTAGCTTTTAAATTTCGTACCATTTCAGCAGTAAATCACATTTATGGACAGAACAAAATGAACAGAAAATTTGCAATTTCACAGCCAGGACAGACAGCTAATACCCCTAACCAAATAAAGGAAACAATCTCTTTGGATGATTCCATATAAATCACAATCTGACCACAAAAAAAGAAAAGGAAAATCAGGACAATCATCCTTTAAATCCGTGTGGCCTGTTGCACAAAGTACTAATAAGCGAAGGGTTAATCTGCTTTGAGTTATGAAGCCTAGTGCAGCAACCAGCACAGCGTGACACACTGAGGGCACATATGGCCCAACAGAGCGCTATGCAAGATTACAGTGATATCATGCAGCGTCCTTCATCATGCTGGTGAACTCCAACAGCAAAGCAGCTTTGAACAGCCTTAACCAGAAATGTCTTTTCTTTTTGAAGACGACGACTTCACAATGTCAAGTAGAAATGAAAAAATGATGCAACAACCACTTCTAAACATGTTCTTCAGCAGAATAACTGTTAAAGGACGCTTATCTGTTATTATAGATGTTTCTACGCCAACCTTAGTATCAGCAAACACAGATCTACCTTGTTAATGATTAATAAACTGACCTGAATAGCAGATGATAGTTTACAGAAGTCTCAAACAGCCTACTACTGACAACACCGAACAGCTAGTAAAGTGGTTTGAAAAGCACCGTGGCTATACAGTATTTTTGATTCACAGTTCAAAAAGATTAAGTGTATATTGGTTGAATTCCACAAATATGTCCCTAGCATGGCATCTGTAAAGTACTAAAAGGAGATTTAGATGGACATACAGATCCCTTTATCAGTAGAAATACTTCATCTAAAATGACACAATGCCTGTTGCATTGATACGCATATATCAAATCGACTTGAAATGAGCCTTGTCGACAAATATAAGAAATCAAAAACAAAAGTGAAAGAAAAACAAAATCCCATGACATTTGCATAAAATGCCAAATACAGTAACATTTTCGCATGTAAAAGCAACAGTGTTACCCCAGGACTTCAAAAGCCCCAGCCATCAAAGACTTTCATTTTAATAGGTTAAAATAAAACAATAATGCATACAATAATAATCCTACGATCCAACAATACTGACCCTGAAGTGAACTTCATTTAGTTTCGCTACTCAGTAATATTCACAAATGAGCTTTTCGAGGTTAATGTTTTCACATATTCTCTAAATGTATACACTTTGCTCTACTGCTAAAATAAAAATAAAACAGTACTTGGATGGCACAATGTAACCCTGACCATTGTGCGTATAAAATGTACCGATCCTTCAATGACCGCTAATCACCTCCGCTTAACTTTACAGGCATCAGTAACTATGTCAAAATGTGTGAGAATCAATAGTTACATGAAGTGAGAAGTGGCTGGAAATATGAACTGTCAGTTGGGGCAAAATGAACACGAAAAAGCGAGTCATCGACACCCACCAGAAAGAGGTCACAGCAAGATCGTTGATGGGATAAACTGTTAGCATATGCGCTTGTATGTGTAAATATAGCCCTTGCAGTTCGGGCAAGTGTGCGTCACATCCTTGAGGTCGTCAATCAAACAGGGGATCAAGCAGCAACCTAGATCACAACTGCAAAACAAAGACAAAAATCAGGGAATCTCAAAGAGGTACTATTGTATGTCATTGAGGGCTCATTATGTATTCATTTATTCAAAACTAAATTAAAAATGCAATTCAGGCATGACCCGAATACACCTCTTCTACTTTGAAAACTGCTTTAATTTCCGTACTAAAATTCATGTACACCACCATTCAAAAGTTGGAGTCAGTAAGATTTTTTTAACAAAATGAACACTTTTATTCACTAAAGATGGATTAAATTGATTAAAAGTGAAAGTAAAGACTTTTACAATGATACAAAAAAAATTCTTCTTCGAATAACGCATGTTCTTTTACATTTTTTATCATGGTTTCCACAAAAATAATAAAGGTTTTCAACATTGATAATAATAAGAAATGTTTCTTGAGCAGCAAATCAGCATATTAGTGTGATTTCTGAAGAATCATGTGACACTGAAGACTGGAGTAATGATGCTGAAAATTCAGCTTTGCTTCACAACAATAAATTAAAATTTAAAATATATTTAAACAGAACACAGTTGTTTTAACTGTATTAAAACCCTTTAACTGTCACCCGTCCCCTCCCACTATATTACAATTAAATCCTAATCTAATCATGACAAACTATATATCGTTGGAAAGGTCTAAGACTCCTAAATAGATATTTTACCAATGTTTTTGTAAAAAATTATGTAGGAAAAGTAATAGATTAATTTATGACAAGAGTGCACCTCAAAAAATCTACATCATAACAGGAGTTCTGACCTTTGTAGCAAAAAGTCTTCTTAGTTGCCTTTTTCTCTATCACACTTTAGAAATCATCAGAAATTATATATCAATTGAAAACTTTAAATCTCAAAATTCATCCTTTGAAACCCATGAAAATGGTACATCAATATCATGTTACAAAATGTTTTCGTTCATGAATTATAAAAATGTAAGTTTGGACCGTGCACTTTCACGTCTATGTTCAAAAATGTGAGTGACAGTTAAAGGGTTAAGATCAAATAAATATACCGCCTTAGTGAGCATAAAAGCCTTCTTTCAGAAACAGGTTTCAAAAAATCCCCAAAGCTTTGAACAGTAGTGTAGTAGATATTTTTGGAGGGGCCCAAAAACTAAAACTAAAATGTCATGGTGATACAACTGTCCTGAAATCATAATGGGGGAAAAAAGCCATAATGTGAAATGTGAAAACCTCATTTAGTACTTCAGCATAAGCTATTAGTATTATTTCTTAGAAAAATGAATGTCGGTCAAATCAAAGACATGAGGTCCAACCAACATCAAGAAAAAACATGACAGAAAGGTGATTTCATAGAGAGGTCCAGTGCTATTTTAGTATCACTGAGAGACTGTTATTGTTTTTATTAATATTTTGAATGAATCATTTATACACACACACAGTATATATATATATATATATATATATATATTGTATATATATATATATATATATATATATTCCCTGTTTTCATTGTAAAGTTTTAGTAATCTTGTGTTTTTGTCATATTAGTTTTTTAATATATCTATATGTTTTTTTTATTCATTTTTATTTCAGTTTTAGTTATTTTAGTAAATCAAGTTACACTAAATGAAAATGAAATACCAAAATTAATGCAGAAATTATATATTTTTTAAATATTTTATTTCAACTAACAAGGTCTTTTTATGGTTGTGGTTTTAGTTTTAGTTTAACTTAACTATAATAACCCTGGAGAGGTCATATCATCAGATCATATTGAGCTGTCCAGTTCCACAGCTCACTTACCCGACAAAGAAGCAGAACATACAGATAAGAGTATTCATGAGGCCGATGTCGTGGCTGATGCGGGTGATGATGGGTTGTTGGCAGTGTGGACAAACCGTCTGCACTGGAGCCGCCTGGAACATCTCCCCCTGTAGAACAGTGACGGTGGTGGCGGCACCAGGAGGGGCAAGGACTGTGGCTGTGTGACCTGGAGCAAAGTGACCTGGCCCCGGACCATAGTGCTCGGCTATCGGATGAGGAAAGTGTCCAGGCGGAGCATAGTAACCACCTGCAGCACATTAATTATTTTTATAGATCTCTGCACACAATAGATCTCGAAGACAATGTAGCTCGAATTTTGTCTATAATGAGAAAAAGTAGGTGAAATCTAGTATTAGTTATAATGAAATGTTTTCTTAAAGGGATAGTTCACCCAAAAATGAAAACTCTGTCATTAATTACTTACGCTCATGTCGTTCCAAACCTGTAAGACCTTTGTTCATCTTCAGAACACAAATTAAGATATGTGTGATGAAATCCAAGAGCTTTCGAACCCTGCATAGACAGCAAGGGAACTACCACATTCAAGACCAAGAAAGGTAGTAAGGACATTGTTAAAATAGTCCATGTGACATCAGTGGTTCAACCCTAATTTTATGAAGTTACGAGAATACTTTTTGTGTGCAAAGAAAACAAAAATAACGACTTTATTCAACAATATCTTCTCTTCCCTGTCAGTTTTTGACGCGCGTTCATGAGAGTAACATGACACACGAAGGCCTTGCAGGTTTGGAACGACATGAAGGTGAGTAACTAATGACAGAATTTTCAGTTTTAGGGTGAACTAACCCTTTAAAAAACAACTCTATTCCTGTCGTATCTTGCATAGCAGCACTGCCCACAGTGAAATCTCATTAGTGCAAAATCTCTTAATGTAAATTAAATAGGCTAAACATTAACCAGCATTAAATTACTTCTTTAACTATTAAATAGACCGTTCACAAAAAAAATCTGTCATCATTCACCTTCATGTTGTTCCAAACCTGCTTCTATCTTCTGTGTAACACAAAAGAAGATATTCAGAAAAATGTTCAAATGGTTTCGGGCCCCATTGACTTCCATAGTGTAAGCAAAAAGTAAAAATAAAAAAAGGAAGTCTATGGGAACCAAAACGGTTTGGTTCTTCAAAATATCTTCTTTTGTGTTACACACAAGAAAGAATGTAATACAGGTTTAGAATGACATGTGGGTGAATAAACGATGGCAGAATATTAATTTTTGCCTGAACTATTCCTTTACGAGATTTTAAAAGTGTCAATTGGGTCGGTGCGAGTTATTACATTTTAATGAAAGATTGCAAACACAAGCTTTTTTCTATTGAATAATATAAACCAATCAATCATTCACAAAAATACCTGAATGTGTGTTAAAAAAAGAGAAAAGGATCAATTCTGTGTAATACTGCTCCTAGCCCTGACACATCACTTTCAGTTTCACTGTGAACAGAAAAATTACCTGTAACTGGAAACCTGTTGCACCACAACAGATTTTGATTTCAATTGGGTAGTAGTTCTTCTTTCTGAAATGCTAATGGTTTCAGTTAGGAAGGCACACTCACCGTGAGGATGAGGCATGGGCATTGGCATATGCACAGGCTTAGGCATGGGACCTTCTCCTGGGACGTGTGGAGGAACAAAGCCTGGTTGTAGTGTAGCTTCATAAGGTGGAGGTCCATATTCTGGAGGCAGTGGCTGCCCTTGTGGAGGTCCTGTCATTACTGGAGCACTGGCTGCTGAGGAAACACACAGTTAATTAAAAGAAATGACTCTTCTAGTGGTAGAAAAAAAGTAAGGTATATAAGACTTATTTTTAGATATATACATCAAAGAGACTGTCTTCAAAACAGGTTTAAAAACTAAGACTTAATTTAATGTCTATAAAGATGAGAAAAATATCTAGGAATTTACCAGGAACTGGAGGTTGCCCATTTTTCTCCACGAGAAGCGGGGCACTGGGGCCCCCTGGGTAAGGAGGAGGGGGGTCACTGGACATGTTGGTTCGCTGGAAGGAGGCCAGAGAAGGGAGCTCTCCTCACACTGTGCTGACGTTCAAGCGGCGTTTCTGAGGTGAACACAAACAGGCCGCAGGTTCAGTCACCACACAGTGTAATGTGATCGTGCCATGCCTGACTACTGCTGCCGAGGTATTTCAAGCGCATCCAGCCATCATCGATTTGCAGCGGCTCATTGCCTCTACATTCCCCTGAGCCCAGAAATAAAAACCATAAGCATGAATTATCTGCTCTTATGAACACAGATTTTCTTTGCACTTTAGACTAATAAGGGTCCGTCGGTCAAGCCACCTGTATCCCAATACTACAGGTTATGAGATAAAACACTGTTCTGCAAGACTGTCTGTGATCATCTTTGAGTCAGAGGTACACACTACATCAATATACTTCAAGATAAACTGTTCAAAAGTTCCGATTTTTTTGAAAGGTTTTGGGTTAATAAGATTTTTTATTTTTAAGTAAATAAACCTTTTACTCAGCAAGGACACATTAAATTGATCAAAACAGACACTAAAGACATGTATTATGTTACAAAAGAGATATATATATATATATATATATATATATATATACACACTGATTTCATTTTCCAGCAGGATTTGGCACCTGCCCACACTGCCAAAAGCACCAAAAGTTGGTTAAATTACCATGGTGTTGGTGTGCTTGACTGGCCAGCAAACTCACCAGACCTGAACTGTCTGTCTGTATTGTCAAGAGGAAAATGAGAAACAAGAGACCAAAAAATGTAGATGAGCTGAAGGCCACTGTCAAAGAAACCTGGGCTTCTATACCACCTCAGCAGTGCCACAAACTGATCACCTCCACGCCACGCCGAATTGAGACAGTAATTAAAGCAAAAGGAGCCCCTACCAAGTATTGAGTACATGTACAGTAAATGAACATACTTTCCAGAAGGCCAACAATTCACTAAAAAAAAATTTTTTATTGGTCTTATGAAGTATTCTAATTTGCTGAGATAGTGACTTGGTGGGTTTTTGTTATATGTGAGCCAAAATCCTCACAATTAAAAGAACCAAAGACTTAAACTACTTCAGTCTGTGTGCATTGAATTTATTTAATACACGAGTTTCACAATTTGAGTTGAATTACTGAAATAAATGAACTTTTCCATGACATTCTAATTTATTGAGACGCACCTGTATATACTGTATATCTCAAGTATTCTGAAAACAAAAATCCTGAAAACAAACAACAATTAATATTTTCTTTCAGCAAGGATGCATTAAATTGATCAAAAGTAAAAGTGATTTCTATTTCAAATAAATGCTGTTCTTTTGAACTATAATGTATCATGGTTTCCACAAAAATATGAAGCAGCCCAGCTGTTTTTAACATTGATAATAATAAGTTCAGCTTTGTATCACAGAAAGAAATGACATTTAAAAATATTTTCAAAATATAAAAATGCTGTTTTTAATTGTAATAATATTCACAATATTATCGTTTTACTGTATTTTTGATCAAATAAAGGCAGTCCCAGTGAGCAAGAGACAAATATTATTTTTTCATTATAAACATTAACATTATAAATATTAAAAAAATCTTACCAACCTCAACCTTTTGAATGGCAGTGTATAATGCATAATCCTCATAATATATGATAATGTGCCTGAATGGTGAAGTGCATCATCCTAGCCGACGGTTAAAGATGGGTAGGCTAGTTAGTACAACTGATCAAGATTCTTCTTGTACCAATTATTTAAGAAATCCACAGATAACATCAAAACAGACAAATAAAATAATAACTAGGATACAAAGCAATGTTATGTAGTAAGTGCAATCTTCAGCACCTGGGTTTAAGTAGACAGCTTGGGCCTTTGAGAAGTTAAAGTAATAACATTTACAGTAGAAACACAATGGCACAGTATTCTTGGAACCATGTAGGTCAAGACTAACTAGAGGTCAAACACGGTGTCCTTCATGTGAAATGTGTGTCATTTTGTGGGGGGAAAAAGAAAATGATTTCATTTTAGGAAAGATCTTTATGAATACAGCACCTCATTTGAAAGCCAAATCGAAGTATAGGCATAACAATATGTCAATATTGTATCATCACAGCAGTGTCCCTTTTCATGACTTGGCAGGTGATAATATCATATCTAATTTGCATTTTCCTAGAATGGTTACCACCAGCCAATGTGGATGAAGCAGGAAATGCAAAAACAAAGGCATACTATATGTGGAGCATATAAATGTTCCTAACAGCTGTTGATTTATGAGAGTAATTTGTTGCCCAGTTCACATCCTTTACTTGAGATAATGGAAATGAATTACACAGAATGCTTCTCCATAACCACAAATTAGGTCCACATATCTAATGCATTTCTCTTGTGTCATTAGGGCATTTCAATTTCAAAAAACAGATCTGATATAAACCAGAAGATATACAAGAGACCTTCCTGTTGATTCCAAACATTAACATTGCATGTACCGGAATATTTTATCCACACGACTGTACACCAGCTTATATACCAGCATAAAATAATAGCGCCAATAGGCCAGTGGTGGTACTGTTCTTCTACAGCAGATAGATATACAATATCCTTTAACAAACCCCTTCTAATTAACCAACATTAATTACAATTCTTACAACTTCTGCATGTTTTAATGTTTTCAATGTTACAGGGAATCCAACTATAAGATTAAGGTTAGTGTTTGGCTATTTTTAACATGTCCAAATGACCAACCAGCACAAAAGTCGGTGTGTTTGCGCCAGGGTTTCTGAAGGTAAATGACTTTTTAAGAACTTTTTAAGACCCAAGTGAAGAAAATTTAGGGAATAAATGAAATGGAACAATTCGTCGATATGGTTGCTTAATGCATTTGCATTTTGTATTAGCAACGCTTCAAAGTTTGAGAATAAAACTTTCAACAGATCTCCATTTCATTTTAATTCACTTTTTTTTTACTGTACTCTCTCTACTCTCTGATCACACTGCAAAAAAAGTGATGTTCTTGATTGTAAAATCAAGATACATTTAGGCTATTTGAGAAGCAATAAGACAGCCTAAAATAAGTCTGGTCTTTTTAGAAATGTATCTGCTAATGGTGTCAGAAAAATCTGCTTAATTCAAACGGAAAACAAGTTTTTTTTTTACAACCCATTGACAGATATTTGTTCTTGTTTGGAGCATAAACTCACTTGCATTTTTTCAATTTGCATCTCATGTAAATGTATCTTGATTTAAGGATGTTTAGATATTTGTATTGGGAAACAAATCAAACATACTGTGGAAGATATACATTTTTGCAATGCATGCATGCAACGTTTAATGGCTTGAATGGAAGACTTTCTGCTCTGACTTAAGACATTTTTTGGCCTTACTAGTTTGTGGAAGGGAAAATTAAGTCCCGCAGAAGCCCTGGCTTGTTCTGGTGCTTTCTGGAGCAGATGATGCGCTCAACCAGAGATCAGCGATTATCCAACCTGTTTCATCGCCGCTAGCAGCGATTACATAAAACCGCCCTAGCCTTCACTATCACTCAACTTTTACTGTGATTCACCATTAAACCGCAAATTGCTGATTGTGCCATTAGCCACTAGCCTCTCATCGTTAACAAGAAAAGGCTACCGTTATTCTGGCTAAAACAAGTCCCGGTCTCTACACTAACCCCAAATATAGCACACAAGTGTAGAATGACTATGTGCATCTTCGTTGCATAAATTACATGCAATCCTCGTTCATCGCAGTAGAGTCAGCAACAAGCCTGGCTAGCTAACATGTCTCGCTGTCATTTAGTCATATTAACATAGTAACGAAGTCTATCTGTTACAAAGCCAAGCGTTATCTACAAACGAAACGTAACAACTTCCCCAGACAGATAAAAATTCGTCGATATGGTTGCTTAATGCATTTGCATTTTGTATTAGCAACGCTTCAAAGTTTGAGAATAAAACTTTCAACAGATCTCCATTTCATTTTAATTCACTTTTTTTTTACTGTACTCTCTCTACTCTCTGATCACACTGCAAAAAAGTGATGTTCTTGATTGTAAAATCAAGATACATTTAGGCTATTTGAGAAGCAATAAGACAGCCTAAAATAAGTCTGGTCTTTTTAGAAATGTATCTGCTAATGGTGTCAGAAAAATCTGCTTAATTCAAACGGAAAACAAGTTTTTTTTTTACAACCCATTGACAGATATTTGTTCTTGTTTGGAGCATAAACTCACTTGCATTTTTTCAATTTGCATCTCATGTAAATGTATCTTGATTTAAGGATGTTTAGATATTTGTATTGGGAAACAAATCAAACATACTGTGGAAGATATACATTTTTGCAATGCATGCATGCAACGTTTAATGGCTTGAATGGAAGACTTTCTGCTCTGACTTAAGACATTTTTTGGCCTTACTAGTTTGTGGAAGGGAAAATTAAGTCCCGCAGAAGCCCTGGCTTGTTCTGGTGCTTTCTGGAGCAGATGATGCGCTCAACCAGAGATCAGCGATTATCCAACCTGTTTCATCGCCGCTAGCAGCGATTACATAAGACCGCCCTAGCCTTCACTATCACTCAACTTTTACTGTGATTCACCATTAAACCGTAAATTGCTGATTGTGCCATTAGCCACTAGCCTCTCATCGTTAACAAGAAAAGGCTACCGTTATTCTGGCTAAAACAAGTCCCGGTCTCTACACTAACCCCAAATATAGCACACAAGTGTAGAATGACTATGTGCATCTTCGTTGCATAAGTTACATGCAATCCTCGTTCATCGCAGTAGAGTCAGCAACAAGCCTGGCTAGCTAACATGTCTCGCTGTCATTTAGTCATATTAACATAGTAACGAAGTCTATCTGTTACAAAGCCAAGCGTTATCTACAAACGAAACGTAACAACTTCCCCAGACAGATAAACATCGTTAGCAATTCAAATCCCTCGGCGATGCATAACGCTACTTGTAAATGATGCGACCACAGGCCTGGCGGCTGCAGCTATGCTCCCAGCACACAAAACACAGAGCAATAGTCGCTCAGACAACGCGCCGTTACCTTCTGTATCCACCGTGATCATGAAAATATCAGGCCTGACAACTTTTCAGTGCTTTCTAGCTCATATGTTCACGTTTGTAGCCCCACTTTCCCAATAACATCCGCTGCTGGGAAGGATTTGACGTAAACATGGGAGATGGGAGGTGTGTGAATCCCACTGGCGAGTTTATATAGATCCTACTACGGCCAAGGCTTGGATTATGAATATGAATTAGGTTGACTGAGAGGACGCTCTTGCAAGGTTACCAAGCAACGTCAGCATTGCTTAAACATATTTGTGTTTTTTTCCTCTCTTCTATATTCATTTATTAATTTGTAATCATTTATCGTTTAATCATTTTATTATTAAACATATAATAATTTATTATAATCATTTAACCATTTATAACTATTTTCCATTGTTGTGTGGTTTCAAGGGATATTTTTCTTCACAAGTAAGAGACAAGACGTAAAAGATCCATTTCAAGGTTTTTACCGTCACTGAATGGTAATTTTCCATTGCTATTGCTTGCCGTAATAATTCACTTTAATCTAGCTTGTGCCAACAATTGTACACAGAAGCAGCTCCGGGAGGATGACGTATGAGGTCGGCGTTTGTTAAGAGGAGCAAAGGAAGCAAAGTTTCCCTACTTCAGCAAAGGAAAACCAGTCTCCTCTTGGCTTATATCGAAATCTTCCGACATTCTTCTTTACAAATCCTCGTTTTGTACTTCTAATAAGTGACCGTTGTTTTGTTTTGATCTCTCCCCTGCACTTCTGCGTTCGTCACTTCTGAGCGGCGCATGCGCAACGCTGAAATCATACATCATACGCCCGGAGCTGCTTCCTTGTACAACTGTTGGCACAAGCTACATTAAAGTGATTATTACTTTTTGAATATGGATATTTTTCTTACAAAAACGCATCGATTCGCTACAAGATGCCTTTGTTCATCCCCCGGAGCCGTGTGAGGCACTTTTTTATTATGCGTGGACACTTTTTATTTAACTTCTTTTGGACATTCGCTACAAGATGCCTTTGTTCATCCCCCGGAGCCGTGTGAGGCACTTTTTTATTATGTGTGGACACTTTTTATTTAACTTCTTTTGGACTGAAGCACTGCAACACCCGCTGAGTGGCATTAAACAGCTTGAAAGATCAGAGACAATTTTTAATATAACTCCGACTGGATTCGTCTGAAAGAAGAAAGTCAAATACACCTAGGATGACTTGAGGGTGAGTAATTTATTATTACTAATTTTCATTTTTGGATGAACTAACCCTTTAACTTTTAGACTGAAGCACTGCAACACCCGCTGAGTGGCATTAAACAGCTTGAAAGATCAGAGACAATTTTTAATATAACTCCGACTGGATTCGTCTGAAAGAAGAAAGTCAAATACACCTAGGATGACTTGAGGGTGAGTAATTTATTATTAGTAATTTTCATTTTTGGATGAACTAACCCTTTAACTTTGATAAAGAATATCTCTTTGGGTTTGAGACTTTAGTCTTTGAAACTTCAGGGATCTTATCTATTCACGAACAGCTTGTAAACTCCAAAGAGAAAGGAAAACTTGAAATCGCATCATGTGACCCCTTTAAGATTTATACAGAAACATGGTTGTTGAATATCAAGTGTTGTGAATCATTCATCATTTAACCATTTAAATGACGAATGATTCATTTGGTGAATGATTGTTTTAATCATTTAGCCTAATATTTGATATTAATGACCATTTTCCAGCCTCAAGCTGTTTTCAATGTTTACCTACTGAGTGCAACACAGAGCAAAAGTGGCATCAATCACAGATGACACCATTGTAATGACAGTTGGTACTCAATAGCAATGATGAAACTGAAAAAATAAATCAGAATAGAACTTACAAAGTGGTGCATCAACAAACCTGAACTAAAAAAAAAAAAGTTTGTGCTGCTGTGCAAAGTAGGCTATTGATAATCTCAGAAACTGCACCAAAAACGGTTATAGAAGTATTCTTCTTCCCCTCTATGGTGTCTGAATTGGAAATTGGATCGATGTGAGCTTTGCAAACACATGGAGTCACTTCTTTCATGTCTGCCACCAAACACTGGTCAGAATGGCATGTGAGGTTCCAGACATAGCCTACTGTATATTCAGCACATGCAGTCTATTTCACAGGAACCCAGGCCACAGTCCGCATGACCTCGCAGCCTGATGCTGTGGATGAACGCTCACCATTAAAGTCAGGCAGATGTTTCTGGTTTTTGTTGTTGTATTCTGCAATTACCACAAGAGGGCACTGTATCCAAAAAAAAAAAACTGGGCCATTTGTCCGCCTTGGAAAATGTTTTAAAGAAACTTCACATTGGTTTTTGTTGTTTTGCATGTTAAAATTTCTGTGAAAGCATCCAATTTTGACCCAAAAAAGGAAACAGAGGAGGCAGAGGCAGAGAGCTGAGAGCTGAGCTGGCACATAGTACTTGATCTAGTTATAATTTCAGTGTTCAGATTCAAACATAAGCTAGCTACGCTATGTTGAGCACAATGAGCAGGGTGACTAACTCGTTCTCCGCAGAAGTGACTGATGACTCAGTTGATTGACCAAAAAAGGAACCCTGTGTCAATCAACCCCAAGCTGCGTCTACAGATGTTCTGGTTATCTGGATAGGGTAACCACAACTCAGCTCATTTCAAGGATTCAGGTTATTACTAGAGTTAATTTAGTTTAATTTCTGCTTCTGTTTTGCGGCCATCTATTAATGTGAACGGTTCTTGGAGTCAGTCCACTGAAATGACCTCTCAAAATATTTTCTGGGCGGGGACAGGGTTGGTCCTTTTTTTTTTTGCTTCATTATTGTGTGCTCAAAGCACAGCTATTCAGTCACAGACTGTACAGTCAGAGTTTCTGTCAGAGAGTTGGGCCTTATTTCCAACATTTTCTGTTCAATTGCTTTTCCTTGAGCACGCTGAATATGCTTCAACTTTTCTTTGGATTTGTTTATTTCTCGGCAGTTTCACAGCTTGTGAGTCTCACAGGTTTGTATGCTGAAGCGCAACCTTTCTTTATATGGAATGAGCCTAGATACGTTTTTAGCTTTTGCTTTCTTTGAGATTAAATGATTTTATACAACAGTTCGTGCTGGTTCTCAAATCGGATTGGTTGAGAACCGTGAGATATTGTACTGGTATCGCTACAGGAACGCCCTTTCACAATTTTGTATCACTCCGCTTGTTCTAGCCAGGTCTATGCTTTTGTTTTATTATTCACTGAGTTAATCGTAGAGTATGTTAGTTAATATAAGAAGAAACGTCTAGCTCCGCGGTCTCTCTCTCTCTCTCTCTCTCTCATTTGGATGCACGTCTTGCCGCATTGTTTCTCTCTTATAACCTCATTATTTCTCACTAATAACCTAACTGAAGCAGCACATGCCCTTGAAACCAATTCTAAAAGTGTCGCATGTTTAACTGTCAACTTGAGCTTTGAATCCGTGGCGGAAGGAAGTAGTTCCGCACAAAAGAGGGTTTTATTAGGCACTCCGTTGTTTCTTGTTTAATTACACACATGTTCCGTCGAACTGTTGTATAAACGCAATATCACTCGAGTATGAGAGCGATACCGGCTCTATATCAGTGGCTGTGATTGCCTCTGGCCTAATCACAGCCATGCTGATATAGAGCCGGTATCGCTCTCGTACTCGAGTGATATTGCTCATATAACTTAGTCTTTTTTTTCTTAGGACCAATGTTTGGAGTGTTGAATTAATTTCTATTCAGTTGACATGTTTGAGCTTGGACCAACACTGCCAAATGTTGTCTTGCTACTGCATTTATCAGTACAGCTTTTTGTTACATATCATGATTATGACAATAGATGGACTTCTACAGCAACCAAAAACAAAATGTTATCTGCCCAGCTCTATAAAATACAAAGCTCTAGATGCAAGCAGTGGTCAGTTTGTAAGTCTTAAGGACTCATGGTACTGTAGGGTTTTTTTTTGTGTCTGCTTGTAATCTGATCCTTCAGTGCTGCTATTCTGTGCTGTAACTTCACTAGTTTTAAATCGCATCCTTCTCAATGTGTTTAACAGGTGCACAAGCTGAATGTCCTCTTCAGCTCAACCCACAGAGAGTTGTTGTGAGATACGGCGATTCTGTTGCAGCTAACTGTAGCACTTCAGTCCTGCATGAAGGGATGGGATGGGAAGCCAGTGAGGGAGCAGTGCCCATGACCAAAAACCAGAGTCTGATCACATGGAGAGTGTCAGAACTGAAAGAATGGGACATAAAGCCAGTCTGCTTCATAAACTATAAAATAGGCGATAAGAATCAGTGTCCAGTAGAGCTGCCAGTCACTGTTTACAGTGAGTTTCTCTGTTACTGATATTTTTACTGTTCATTCTCAGAAATATCTAATAAATGTACATTCATCATTCATCACAGCAGATTTCAGAGTGTGTAAATCTTCCTCCACAGAGACTCCAGACAGTGTGTTCATCAGTGTGAATCACAGCGGACCAATGAAGGAGAGAGAGCCGTATGAGCTCCAGTGTGACGTTCACAATGTGGCTCCTGTTCAG